GTAGTGTAGTTGGACACCGACCGCTGCACGGCTGTGGCAAGAAGTGTTTTTTTTGAACGTATTTGAAGGGTTAGGGTGAGGTGGGGCATGTTAACGTTCCTTGTACGTTGCACACATGTTGGACGCTACGCAACTGAAGGGTTAGGGTGGGGTGGGGCATGTTAACGTTCCTTGTACGTTGCAGACATGTTGGATGCTACGCAACTGAAGGGTTAGGGTGGGGTGGGGCATGTTAACGTTCCTTGTAGGTTGCACACATGTTGGACGCTACGCAACTGAAGGGTTAGGGTGAGGTGGGGCATGTTAACGTTCCTTGTAGGTTGCACACATGTTGGACGCTACGCAACTGAAGGGTTAGGTTGGGGTGGGGCATGTTAACGTTCCTTGTAGGTTGCACACATGTTGGATGCTACGCAACTGACGCTGCAGCTGCTGACGATCTATATGATCCTGATGATGCTGTGATGATGATGATCATGATGGTGATGATGATGATGATGATGTGATGATGATGACCATGATGATGATGATGATGATGATGATGGAGATGATGCTGTGATGATGCTGTGATGATGATGATGATGGTGATGATGATGACGATGATGATGATGACGATGATGATGACGATGATGACGATGATGACGATGATGATGATGACGATGATGATGGTGATGCTGATGATGATGATGATGATGTGATGATGTGATGATGATCATGATGATGATGCTCATTATGATGATGACAGTGCAAACCAAACAAGTAGTTTTCTGAAAAGACAATGATGCATTTTCACATGCTGGATGTGCAAAATCATTGTTTCGCTATAGTGTCGTGCTTATTTTCTATTCACATCATGGACATTTTTACCACGGCCACGAAATGGTCGTAAACCGTGTAGTTGTCGTCGTCGTCGTTCTCGTTGTAGTGTAGTGTAGTGTGGTGTCGTGTCGTGTCGTGTCGTGTGGTGTGGTGTGGTGTAGTGTACTGTAGCGTAGTGTAATGTAATGTAATTAGTGTAGTGTAATGTAATTAGTGAAGTGTAATGTAATTAGCGTAGTGTAATGTAATTCGTGTAGTGTAATGTAATTAGTGTAGTGGAATGTAATGGGTGAAGTGTAATGTAATTAGTGTAGCGTAGCGTGGTGTAACGTACTGCTATTTGCTGTAATTGAGTGTAGTGTAGTGAAGTGAAGTGAAGTGTAGTGTAGTGTACTGAAATGTAGTGTAGTGTAGTTGTAGTTGTAGTCGTAGTTGTAGTTAGTGTAGTGAAGGGTAATTGAGTGTAGTGTAGTCTAGTGGAGTGGAGCGTAGGCGTAGTGTAATGTAATTAGTTTAATGTAATGTAGTGTAATGTAGTGGTAGTTGTAGGTGTAGTGTAGTGTAGTGGCGGTTGTAGCTGAAACCGCGACAAAACCCTCATGTTTTGCTCACTGTTGGCAAGGTGCAGAATCCCTTGTGCCCGCCACGCAGAACAACATTCGAACGTCCAAAAGTGCTCCGAACCCCTCAGCTTTTTCCACTTTTGACTTCGAAATGTGCTTCGCGCCACAACGGCGTGCGCTTTTCCAAAAGTGCTCCGAACCCGTCAGTTTGTTACACTTTTGACTTCCAAATGCGCTTTGCGCCACAACGGCGTGCACTTTTCGACATATTTTGACTCGGAAATGTGCTTCGCGCCACAAAGTGCAATTTTCCATCTCTCATCTGGCCAGATGTCTCCGCACCCGCCGCTTTAGCGAGCCTACTTTTTTTTTCGACCCTCCGGAGCCACAAATCATTAGAAAAACACAGTGAATCGTGACTTTTCTACCGTTTCGCGCGGTCTACCATGCACTTGCGCCGAAATTCTGCCGATCTCCTGCGCCGAAATTGTAGCCCTACCTTTTTGCCGATCACTTGTGCCGAAACGTCTGTGAAACCCAATGAATTACCAGCTAATTACGTGCAAAGCGGTTCAAAAAACGATACTATGGGACACCTTACTATAGATTTGCCAAATTCGAGCTCACTTTAGGCATACCTTTTTGACTTTCACTTTGGGCATGAATTGATCACCAAGGACATGACGCCTTTAGGGTTTATATGTTGTTGCGCTTAATGTAAGAAGAGCCACGACACCTTTAGGGTTTATATGTTGTTGCACTTAATGTAAGAAGAGCCACGAAACCTTTAGGGTTTATACGTTGCTGCACTTAATGTAAGAAGAGCCACGGCACCTTTAGGGCTTATATGTTGTTGCACTTGGTGTAAGAAGAGCCACGGCACCTTTAGTGTTTTTATGTTGTCGCACTTAATCTCAGAAAAGCCACGGCACCTTTAGGGTTTATGTTGTTGCACTTCATGTAAGAAGAGCCACGACACCTTTCGGGTTTGTGTTGTTGCGCTTCATGAAGAGCCACGACACCTTTAGGGTTTGTATGTTGTTGCACTTGATGTAAGAAGAGCCACGACACCTTTAGGGTTTGTATGTTGTTGCACTTCATGTAAGAAGAGCTACGACACCTTTAGGGCTTATATGTTGCTGCACTTGATGTAGGAAGAGCCACGACACCTTTAGGGTTTATATCTTGTTGCACTTAATGTAAGAAGAGCCACGGCACCTTTAACGCTTATTTGTTGTTGCACTTGATGTAAGAAGAGCCACGACACCTTTAAGGTTTATATGTTGTTGCACTTGGTGTAAGAAGAGCAACCGCACCTTTAGGGTTCATATCTTGTTGCACTTAATGTAAGAAGAGCCACGACACCTTTAGGGTTTGTATGTTGTTGCGCTTCATGTCAGAAGAGCCACGACCCCTTTAGGGCTTATATGTTGCTGCACTTCATTCAAGAAGAGCCACGACACCTTTAAGGTTTTTATGTTGTCGCACTTAATGTGAGAAAAGCCACGGCACCTTTAGGGTTTATATCTTGTTGCACTTAATATCAGAAGAGCCACGACACCTTTCGGGTTTGTATGTTGTTGCGCTGAATATAAGAAGAGCCACGACACCTTGAGGGTTTATACGTTGTTGCACTTGATGTAAGAAGGGCCACGACACCTTTAGGGTTTGTATGTTGTTGCACTTCATGTAAGAAGAGCCACGACACCTTTAGGGTTTGTATGTTGTTGCACTTGATGTAAGAAGAGGCACGGCACCTTTAGGGTTTGTATGTTGTTGCACTTGATGTAAGAAGAGCCACGACACCTTCAGGTAGGGCTTATATGTTGCTGCACGCGCACAAGAGCCACTTTATTCGGAAATTTACTGTTGAAATGCCGCCCAACACCTGTGGACCAAGACCCCGACACAGATTTTGTGAGAGCCTGCACAGTCGACATGCGCGTGCACAAGAGCCACTTCATACGGGAATTTACACATAAAATGCCACGGAACAGCTTTGCACCAAGACTCCGACACATACTGTGCGGGCTCCTACACAGTCGACATGCACGCGCACAGGAGCCACTTTATACGGAAATTTACAGGTAAAATCCCGCCGAACACATGTGAACCAAGACCCCGGCACAGATCTTGTGGGAGGCTGCACAGTCGACATGCGCGTGCACAAGAGCCACTTTAGACGGAAATTTACATGCTGAGGCGGCTTTTCGCTACCACAATGACATGCTGATGTAAAACACAGCTGGTTGGCTGCGATGTAGCTGCTGCAACAGCATAGGATGAAACTTGGAGATGTGATGAGATGTTGTGAAAATGAATGGAACTGACTGGGCATGAATTCTTTGTTAAGCTACATTTGCTTGCACTTTGGCATCTCCACCGGAATATGTTCCTGAGGCAGTTAAAGTTGCTGATCTCTTGGATCTGAACGCGATGAGAACGTAAAAATGAAGAGCGCTTAGTCAAGGAAAGTTGTTTCCTTTCCCGGTTGAGCTGCTGCAAAGGGTCAGTCGCTTCCAACTTCGAAATATTTGATGGATGCTTTTCAGTGTTCAATTGTGTCAATTTGTAGTTTTAATTCGCTCTGTTCACGCTTGATTTTTTTATTCGCTCTCTTCAAGCTTGACGGCGAGCACTCATGACTCATGGAATATGATTCATTCAGTATAGACGCAGTCTGTGTAAACACTAAGGAGGCAATCATTCAAAATAATTTGGCCCAGAGGTGAACTATTTAAGGCCCAGAGGTGAACTATTTAAGGACGCACCATTGTTCCCAAGATGACTAAGCATTGCTCCTATCTCCGATAGCTTGCCGGCTCCTATTTTCAAATCGTTCACTCTTACATTCGCTTCAGGCAATAAATATTTGAAATCAAGACGTTGTGAAAGTCGCGCCATGGCTGTTCCGCCTGTGGATCTGACTCTGCCGTTGAAGCGAGAGTATGCCATGGCAATTGCCACGGGTGAGAAGTTGTGGGAGGCACGCCATCTCACGTGAAATGCCGCCGAACAGCTGTGGACCAAGACCCCGAGACAGACGTTCTGGGAGCCCGCACAGTCGACATGCACGCACACAAGAGCCACTCCATACGGAAATTTACAGGAAAAATGCCAGATGGCAATAAAAAGCGGCACAAGCGATGAGCAAAAAAGTGGCACAAGCGAGGAAATAAAAAGCGGCACAAGTGAACGCCTCACCTTTTCGCGCACCTGCATCTTCTTTCTTCTGACTCTTTCTCTTCTCTAACTCTTCCCACCTCTGCTTTTCCATCTGTCCATATTGTCGGAAGCTTGACTTCTAAACTTCCTTCGATAATTGAAGAACCCAGCACCTTAAGGAACGTTTTAAAAAAATGGACGTTACAAGAAAATGGACTAAAAACCTGCTTAAAACCAATTCATGTTTCCTCTTCCTAAATCATGCAAGCTGCCCCAGGTGGCAGCAGAACCTATCCAGCACCCTGCAGCAGACTAACTTCCTTGAACCGGCCGAACGCTCCAGAACCCTGGCTGCGAGCCGTCTCCTTTGTAGCATTTGACGCTATACAACGCCAGATCAGATCTCAATTTTGCAAATTGTCTCTGAAAGGCATGGTGAATGATGTGCGTCGCCTTTGCTGTGTCGCCGATGATGAATCTCCAGGAGCGACCACTGAGCATTGCGACCTGCGGTCTGCAACTATGGAATGAAGCACCAAAGCTTCCCGAGTATTCAGGCTCAAGCATTTGCAGTCACTATCATTAGCAGCAACCAGATACACACCTGTCTCACAAGTCTAGGGGTGGATCCAAGATTAAAAAAAAGGATAAAAAAATACATGATAAAAGTTTTCAATGCCACCGAACAGTCCCACCGGACAATTCTCATTCGTCTGAAATAAACTCTTTAAACCTTGTGTCACAGCATGGGAGCCTCAAGTTTTAAACTGTCTGTGTTTGCATGGTGTCAAAAAATTGATGCGAGTGCTAGTAACTGGTCTTGGAGGCAGCTATAAGTACAACAAATCACGCAGAACACCGATGCAGGGTAAAATTGAAAAGATGTTTAGACAACATGGACAGATCAAAATTATGCTGCATGCTGCTACTGTAAGCACCGTGGAGGAACTTGCACCACATCCTCGAACCCACAAAATGTCTGTGCAGATCAGCTGCGATTCTGATGTAAGCAGCAGTACATCTCAATGACTCAATGATCTACAGTGATCTACATGAAGGATTGGACTCATTTGACTCACGTGGTAGTCACTGGTCACTGGTCACTGGTAGGCTTTCTGGGACTTTCACCGATTGCTGTGACCGCTTTGCCTCAACTTCAACTCCAGCAGCATCGCTTTCCCAACAGATCCACCGTTGCTTGTTGGCCTGAGCTCGGAGGGTTGACTTGAGTCTGACTTGAGCACATGGCACAACCCAGCCTGTCGACGCAAATGTCCCAGTTCCTGCAAGTCTCCAAACAATTCTGACAACATACATGCCAACCAAAGCTGGTAAAGGAAGCAAAGGTCAATGGTAGACTTCTCAAGCGTTCCTTTCTCGCTGTGGCAGAGCACCGCTTAGATTCCTTCTTTCTAAAGAGAGTCCTGCGGGAGGTTCAATTTGCAGAATCACACTGCGAATGCCGAAGGCCAATTGGGCAGGTTTCATCTTCAAGTTCAGCTTTGCTGCAGTTGACAGTTGACACAGCTGAGATGCTTTGGTTGGGACTGTCTCCTGAGAGCATCCAACCATGATGCTTCACTTCCAAGACCTGTCACATTATCATCAAATCTTGTCATGGGGGTGCTGTTGAAGTGGACATGTCTCCACGATGCGGTTACGCAATCACTCGCTAATTTATTCGCTCAAACTCACTCCGTATCTCACTGGATTTCCGAATTACTAACTGTCTCACTCAATCACCCACCCATCCACTCATACAATTCAACTCAACTCAACTCACGTCGCCTCATGTCACCTCACCTCAACTCACCTCAACTCACCTCAACTCACCTCAACTCACCTCAACTCACCTCACACGCTTACTAACTTACTAAATAATCTATGAGTAAATTCACCAACCGACCAACTTTAATAAGTAGTAAATCCATCAGTCCACCAAAGCTGGGCTAAGTAACATACATAAACAAAAAATCAAGCGTTCAATCAAAGCCTTACAATAAATCAATGCAAGAACTACTTTTTCTATCTTCTTCTATCTTCTTCTATCTTCTTCTTACCTCACTCACCTCGCAGAATCAGCACCACAGAGCTGGCTTTTCACATTGGAACAGAACGTCCATGTCGCGTGGCAAGGGAAGCCCTGTAAACTTGCGCACCGCTCGAATTTTCAAGTTGGACCAGTGTTGGAATTGCTGTGGGCAGATTTTCTTCAAATCATTGGCACTTGCCTTTTCAGTACTCGGGTCTGAAGATAAGGCTGGCAGAGAGCTCAAAAACTGCTCACCAACTTACGCTCTACCCAACTGCATGGCTTCATTTCTCAGTGGATTCGGGAGTGGCGTGTTTGAAACTGCTTTTGACCGCTTAGCCGCTTGACAATTATGTTCGTTTTTCTTTCGAAATGCATTGCTGCCGCTCATTCTTACTCCGTGTGTACTGCCTTATATTTATCGGTCAAGGATAGGAAATTGCATCAGTTTTCAATGAAAAACTGGTTCGTTCACTTCATCCCATGCCATTCCATTCCATTTCATTTCATGTTATTTCATTTTATTTCATTTCGTTTCATTCATTCAAAAAACTGAGAAACTTGAGAGAGAGAAGGAAACTAAAGCCAGCCTCAACACAGAAGAAGAAACGGCGAAAGTGGAAAGAGGCATGCCAACTTCACACCGGAATTGCCTTTTCCCATTTGGAACATGTACCGTCTTCGCCCAATCCCAAGAAATCCTTTTTGAAAACAACCTTGGACACCGTCCATGGGGGCTGCGTGTTTTTTGCTCGTGACCTGTGTTTTGCAACTGTTGCGTGGGAAAGTGTTTTTTGTGCCGGTTGGCGGCAGCGAATTGCTGCGGCTGGAAGGTGACTCTGCAACGGTAAACGGAGTTTTTTGCGACAACGACGGTGTTTTTTGCAACGGCAACGGTGTCTGTTTTCTGCGCCGGTAATGGTGTTTTTTGCGATGCTTGGTGTTTTCCGCGACAAGGTGTTTTCTGCGCTGGCTCAAGGGGGGATGCTTGTGGCGGCGCTGCTGATTGACTGGCGTTTCTTGCAACGGTTCGCTGGTAGCACTGGTGGTAGTATAGGTAGTAGGTCGTAGGTCGTATGTAGGTATACCTACTAGGTAGTAGGCCGTAGTTCCTAAGTAGTATAGTTCTAGTCGGTAGTTAAAGTGGGTAGTAGACAGTGGGTAGTAGGTGGGTAGCAGGTATCAAGCCCAAAGCGCTGCTGTTTTGTTGCAAAAAACACCAGCCAGAACCGTGGCAAAAAGCACCGGGGAACCGTCGCAAAAAACACCGGGAACTGTTGCAGAAAACCCAGAAACTGTTGCAAAAACACCACCGTCGCAAAAACAGCGGTACAAGGAGAAAACACCACTCTCTCAAAATATATTGGTTACTGTTGCAAAAAACACCAGTCCCACACCGCCCGCACCAGAACGCTGACAAAACCCGCAAAAAACTCATTATATAAATTATACTTATTTATATGTATATATATATATATATTTAAAAAAAAAGGCTCGTCCTGCCCCTTTTTTACAGCGTAGCCAGACCTAGTTTGTCAACATAAAAAGCAGAGGAGTCATTTGACTCCCAATTAAAAACTTACACTGATCAACACTACCCTTCTGAATTTCATCCGCCACGCCAGGACGAAAAACAGACCCCAGGGTAATAGTAGCACCCCCAACACTTCATCCCAAGTACCATTTCTTCACTCATGGCCCCTATGCCAAATCCCTCAAGATCCAAAACGAAAAAACGGAGCAGAAAATTTTCTCGGATTCCTCCTTCCACGTCCCCCTGATCCACTCGTTCCACGAGTGTGCTCAAGGCTCGGAAGCTCTTTGTTCAAGGACTTTCGGTACACACTAAGAAAGCCACGAAGGTTGGCCATGGGCACCTTCATTTCAGCCAAAGTGGCTAGTCCGGAATTGATATAAATTCGGGCTGTTTTCGGTGCTTGCCACCGTCCTTGCAAAAGCAGGCGGTCAAGTGACCCGTGTTTAGCAAACGAAAAGGTTGCACCTCCTCTCCGCAGCGAATAAGGCCGGAAATTAAACGAACCTAAACCTAATTCTTCAATAGTCTCAGAGAATTGTGTGCGCCAGGCACTGGGAGACGAAGAAAGGTAGGAAGAAGAACGTGATTTCCAGTCACGGAGCCTCCGCACCACATCAAACACCGTGATAGTGATGCTTTCTTCAACCCAGCCTTTGTAAGGCCAAAGGCCTAAACTGCGGGGCCTGCAGCTGAATCTGCCTGAACTTGCCGGGGTAACAAGTTCAGAAGTTCTCCAGCGCGCATCATCCCATAGAAACCTAACAGGAGAGACAAAGCGAAATCAGGCTTGTTTTGGAGGAGGGCTCGGCCAACCATGGCGTGCACCACAGTCGCTGGAAGGGGAGGAGCACGATTGGGGAGCTCGTTTTGCGACCAAACTTTCAGAAGCCTCCAAGCTTCAGGAAGTGAGCCTTTAAGGTGGGGTTCAAAATTCTGGAGGGCTGCCAGGGTGTCCGAGGCAAGAGCTCTCCCTTCGCCGGTTGCCCACAAGTGTTCTAAATATTCAGAGGCCAAGCCATCGAGAAGCTCTTTTCGCTTTGGAAGGATGAGGCCCTCGAACCTGAGAAACTGCAAAAAAACGGTCCAAGGCTTTGTCATAGCATTTACGGGTGGCTGGTTGCACTGTCAAACTCCGTAATGTTCCAAGCTGTCTTCTTTGTTCAATGCGCTCTTCCTGGGAGCGGCCCTCTAAATGCGCTTTCCTTTTAACCATGGTTTTTTGACTGGCCGCCGAGACGGCCGGTCTGCAGGATTTTGCTTTGTATTGACGTAACCCCAAACGGGGTACACGTCGGCCGCCAGGAGTAACGCATTGATTTTACATAAGACAGCTCTAAGCTTTCAGCTGCTGGACCGGCCCCTGCCAAGGCAGTGCAGGCATACCAGCGAGTCCGTCAAGTGCAACATGCGGCAACTACGGTGCCGTTTCCTGCCCACGCGCCATTCCAGGCACGTGTGGATGGCTTGCAACTCAAGGAAGTTGATGTGGCAGCCACCATGTTGCCACGCACAGCCACATATTGCGCCCCACCGCCACAGTTTACTAGGCACAGATGCTCGAAGCCTGTGAAACCGAACCACGTTCTCCGTAGGAGCTTGGACCATAAGGTCTTCTCCCTTCACGGATACGAAGTTCATAAGCTTCTTTGTCAGCTGTTCCTCAGGAACACCTCCCGTCGACTGGCGCATAGGCACCAGAGGAGGCCTAGCCAGAAAGCCCTGGAGTCGCCGATCACGCCCAGGAAGACCTGCCTACATTGTGTCCGCGAGGGTCTTGCATTCAGTCATGCCTAGTGGATTGAATAGCTGCATCAGCAGCCATGAGATGACTCCGACATGCCAAGCATTGCCAACTAGGGTGTGACGCGCATCTGCGAATTGGGATCCCTGCTGCCGGTTCTTTGGCATGCATGTCTCTGTATAATGCAAAGGGAAGCCCATTGTGATCTCCTTCTCAGAGATGGTGGGTAACCGATGCTCACCTGCCTCATTGACAAGACAGTTTTTGTCCCGATAAACATAAGGCGGGTATCGAAACTGGTCATCGGTCCATCGCTGTTTTTCCCAAGGTTGGCACTGCCACAAGCCAGCGGGTCGGTTTCCTGGCGAGCTCCTTGGACGTGAAGTTGTAAATGTTGGCAATGGATCACTCCCCGACAGCCTCCACCCTGGCTTCAGGAATTCGGCTGGGTCCACCTGCGCGCTCAACTGGATCTCCACAAGCGCGCGACTCCCATTGCCCACCGGCGGGAGTATTGTGACACCAGCCCCGTCCAATATCTCCCATGAGAGCCAGTACAGCCGAGGCCGACGGCACAAGGAGATCCCCCCAGCATCAATGACATAGGGAACCACACCCATATGTACTCAGTCATCACACTCCCGCATGTCCTCCTCATCCATGGAGAACACCGACTCCATAAGAAAATGAACTTGTGCCCAGCAAAAGTATCGCCGTTGAACACCCTCCGAACATGGATGAAAAGACTTGACCGAGCATCGCGCAGAGCACCTTTGCGATCAGCATTGAGACCAGAGACCCCCAGGCAAGGGGGACCGCCTCCAACAACAACTACCCCCACATTGCTGTATTTTGCGGCCCACCCTATTACCATCTCCTCATCAATGTGCTCCACGTTTCCCACCTGCTCACTGTCAGGGAAATGGCTCTCCAGTAATTTTGAGCCCTCACAACACACCTCAGAACTGATGTGACCTCCCATTGGAAGCTTCAACACGTCACAGGCCACGCGTAGTGACCCAATACCATCAAACAACCCAATACTCAGCGCTTGGACAAAGTCGTCCGGTTCAGGCACATCGCCGCGGACCAAGCAGGAGGCAGCATGCACTCCCATTGCGGTCAAGCCGTTGCTTACACAGAAACCCCCACCGTACTCTGAGGCGTCCGAGACCGTAACCTCTCCCCTCATGGGAGAGCGCAAATTCATCTGCGCCAACGGCACTGTTCCAAGAAAACGAATCAACTCCAGCTTCACTAGTGGTGGCAATTCCCTCTTGATGACAGGGGGGCCCCCACTGAATTCACCAATGAAAGTCCAAACCCGGTTGAGTGGGTCTCCTGCTGGACGCTCTTCTTTGGGTGCCGTGGTAGCCCCCAATAATGGTAACCCTGGCGCAGAGCAAGGGCTTCCACAGAGAGTTCCCCTTTGATTAAAGTGGCCAACTGTTCATCAATCTTTTCCAAAGCGTCGAAATTGTCCAAATAAATACGGTAAAGCCACCCAGTTGAAGGAAAAACTCTGTCCTTACGCACTTCATTCTCAGGGCCTAGATGCGGTGTCATACCATGAAGGGAAAGTCTGGCAATGCGCCGATGAATGTGTTGAGCAATTGAAACGCTATTCAAAAATCCCATCGGCAAAACTCGTGCCGCCAAGTAAAATGGCTGAGACGCCCCTCTTGGTGCAATTGACAAAGGTACAGGTTTTCCAAAACACATGTAACGATGCCATTGAGGAGGAAGGGAGAATAAATAGAAAAAGCATCTAATGTCTTCAGAACTCATCAGCAAGACCTCAGAGTCCTCCAAAACAAAGGGAGACATTCCTGCCCAAGATGGTAACGTAGAAATATCACCTCCCATCGATCTACACAGCCTTTTCACCGGCACCATATTCATGATCAACCGACAAACTTCCCAGTCACCAGACATCTCCTCCTTGGAAACCGCAAATAACCCAGAAAATAAAGGTTGGTTGTTGAGGTGGTACACTTCCGACAGTGGCAAAAGAGTACACACTCCCCTCTGTAGGAGTCCGGAGCAAATCTGCTCCCATGAATCTTGGTCTGCTAGAACTCTAGGGGGCTTTGTATAAACCCTGGATTCATCAGGCAAGAGGTACCTTTCAAAGTTATTCACATACTCCAGCGGTCCTAACTGACAAACCTCTGTAAGAGGGATAGGTCCAATGCAATCAGGCAATCCCGGTTCAATGTTTTCCCACCTAAAGTTTCTAGCAAGTTTAACTTCCTCACCCCGATAGTCCACGGAACGGGTCTGCATAAAGTCCTCCCAGCTCAGGCCCCCAAGCTTTTCTGTCGCCAAGCCGCACGAAGTGATGGAGCCTATCAGAGCCTTCCAAGGCACCGAGCGTTGTGCCCGAGATCGGACGCCCTGCTGCTGCTCTTACGCCATAGTAAGAGTTGAGGGACCGGCATACCATCAGCAGCAACTGGCCTTCCGCTAGGGTCAACTGGCTGAAATGCTTCCGCAACACCTCTAGGGTTTCAGGTAGTGGAAAAATACCACCTGAGCACTTGGTCTTGCTACGCGAAAGTCCTAAGGAATCCACAAGATCAGAAAAAACTGGAACCAACATTTCAGCCAGCTCCGCAAAAGTCTTCCCCTTGGGGTTGAAACTACTGAGCGTCACCCTCTCCAGTCCGGTCGGGCCGGAAGAGGTGGCACTTGAAAACTCTTTGGACACCACCGGAGGCATGCAGGACGGCCTCCTACGCAACCTCCCATCGTCCTCTGTACTAATACTCGCCTCAGCCAGGCAGGAGTCAGCAGACTCCCATTGCCCACCTCCTCCTACTTTCGGTTCTTCTCCTCGTCCTTGCCACCCCTTTGAGTTGTATCGCCCTTGCTTTTGCCTTTGCCCTTCATGTCCTTGCCCTTGCCTTTTCCACGATGGTCTTCCCCTCGTTTGTCCCACTCTGTCTTCTTCTCCCACGGTCTCGAAGCGGCATTCCGGGCCCGCAGCTCTTCTCGTTGGAGCCGGCTGGCCTCTAAGGTCTCGACCGGACTTGAAATGAAAGGAGATTCACCTCGGTCGGCACCAGCTCCAACCTTTGTGCCACGGAGAAATGTCCTCCTCCAGAAATTTGCTCCAGCCCTTGTAAGCGCTGGGTGAGGACATCGCACGCCGCTCAGACCCTCCCTTGTAATAGGAGGTCCTGAACAAAGCACACCGTCTGCATGCGCTTCTCGTGCCATGGCTCCTGACATTCTCCCTTGAAGCGCCATCCTCCAGTACTGGGAAAAAATCGGAGGTATGGCACTGAGGTCGAGCTGCCACGGTTGCCCGGTTTGGGTAACAACCGCGTTTTGCATCTGCTCCAGGGCGTTCAATGTCAGGGCCCCTGGCACCTTCTTCCAAACCGTCTTGACCTTGATCTCGTCGCCGAACAAGGTCCCCACCTCCCCTAAGGAGCTGTCGCTCCCATCGGAGGTCGTTGCCGTAGAGCAGGCGGTGTCTGCATCCTTCTTGTTCCTCCTCTTTGCCACCCAACGCGCTCTCCTCTTGAGAATCTTGCGCTTGGCTGGATTGGGATCCAATGCCGTGGGCCCGAAGACTGCTGCCAGCTCCTTGGTGCCTGATATCTTTCCTCTCTCCTTGTCTTTTTTCACCTTCTTGCCTTTCTTCTTTTTGCGCCTCTTTGCCCTGCTCTCCTCTGAGGTGTCTGACTCTTGCCTTGGGGGTCCTCTGTCTGGAGCTTCCCCTCCTGTCTCTTCTGCTCTCCTCCTCAACCTGGAGAGCTCGTCCACGTCGGGGGGTAACCCTCCCATGCCTAGGAGGTTGTCCATCCACCCCTCTTTCTGATCCTCCTTCCACTGCTTCACGCCCTTGCAATGGACTAGAGCATCCTTGCTGAGGTTGCCGCAATCCTTGGGGCAGAGATGAAGATTGATCACTCTGCCTGGGTGTTGCCCTACCCATTTCACCAAAGCTTCCGATTGGCCCCCTCAGGGGCTACATGCACGTATGTCTCTCCTCCAGCTACTTCAACTCCCTTCACAATGCCGGCCACCTTGGTATAGTTCCTCCCTGTAGGTGCAATCCAAGGCCACCACGCGCTGCCCCGCCTTCCAAAGGTACAGGGGGACTTCTCTGGCTGCGACAACCCCCCCTGGCTCAAACACCTCGGAGGCCCTCTTGCCTCCCAGATCCTCCTCTTCAACCTCTGTCGCTTTGGCCGCCGGACGCTTGAGAATTCCCCCTAAGGGGCTGAGCCTTGCCTCTAGCTCTTGCCTTAGGAGCAGGCCCAGCAACCCGGGCGCCTCTGATCCGTGCAGCTGGCCGCAAGGCAACCTTTGGGGGCATCAATAATACCCTTTCTGGCGCCACTTCCACTCCTGAACTCGTTGAAGAGTTCCTGTTGCTTTCTTTTCTTCCTGCCTTTGTTCTCTGCGTCGGGATGCCGTGGGGGAGTGGCTCTTCTGTCTTGTCGGTGTCTGTAACTGGGAATGGGCCCTCTCCACCTCTCTGCCGAGTCTCTCCTGGAGAGGTGAACGCCTAGGGCTGCGTTCCCTCCTCTCAGATCTTCTTGCATAAGGAGAGCGTCGTCTACGCTCCTGATGCCTAGACCTGGACCGCGACTCCCGTTCCCACTTCTTTTTCGACTTCTTCTTCTTCTTCTTCTTCTTCTTCTTCTTTGTGGGCTCCTGAGGCTTCTCCTCGCCTTCGGAATGGGGCTCCTCTTTCACAGCTCTGCTACTGTCCTCCTCTCTTTGCTTGGGGCTCCTCTCTTCTTTTGGCAGGCTTCTCTCAGGGCTAATTGATTCCTTCTTCTTCTTCTTTACCTTGTTGCTCTCTATCCTTTTCCTGGGCAAGGGTTCGGCCTCCTTTGGGGCACTTGGTGCGGGCGATGCACCTTCTGTTTCTTCTTTTTTCGGTGGCCTGGACTTTGGGTAACTTCCTGGTTGTGGAGCCTCGCCTGCTTCCGCGGGCCCCTTGTCGATGACCTCAGTGGTTGCAGGCGGCGGGGTGACCGACGACCTTCGGAGGTTGTCGGCTACTTCCAGGCCACAGAAGTAGGTCTGCCGAATGAACGGCTGAACCACCTCACCTCCCGTTGCCGGAAGATCGATCCGACGGAGGAGCTCTCTGACCCGGAACCACCCTGAGCACACGATGCAACGGAGGTCCTGGACGAGAACACCAAATTTCCCTAAGCAGTCAAGGCAACGGAGAGGATTCTCTCCCATCCAACCCTAAAAGCTTGATCCGAGTCTGCAGAAAAAGAGGGGTTTACTTCGTCTTTACTCCCGGGCCGTGGGAACATGTATATATGAATATGACGAACAAGAACTGTCCATTTCATAGGACGCTTGCACACAAGGATAAAAGCAGCACATTTGACCATGAGCCATGTTATCAATTGACACAACTCGAGACATGCCATATCTGACCATATCTGGGGGTCGGCCATGACCCAGCGCCTTTCCTAGCGGAACCCAAAGTGCCGTTTCCCACTCTCACAGCGCCTTTGCACAATCCCAAAAAGGCAAATCGAAGCAAAAAAGAAACCTGAGAAGGGGGAACGAAAGCCAGCATCCCATCTAACCCTATTTTCCCCCAATGATTTTTCACCCACAGATTCTTCACCCAGAAACTCTTCTTGCACATACTCTTCACCCATATACTTTTCACCCACAGACTCTTCACCCAGAAACTCTTCTTGCACATACTTTTCACCGATATACTTTTCACCCACAGACTCTTCACCCAGAAACTCTTCTTGCACATACTTTTCACCCATATACTTTTCACCCAGAGGCTCTTCACCCAGAAACTCTTCTTGCACAGACTTTTCACCCAGAGACTCTTCACCCAGAAACCTCCTTGCACATACTTTTCACCCATATACTTTTCACCCACAGACTCTTCACCAGAAACTCTTCTTGCACATACTTTTCACCCAGAGACTCTTCACCCAGAAACTCTTCTTGCACATACTTTTCACCCATATACTTTTCACCCACAGACGGATCAACCATATACTTCTCACCCACAGACTTTTCACCCATATACTTTTCACCCAGAGATTCTTCACCCAGAAACTCTTCTTGCACAGACTTTTCGCCCACAGACTTTGCACCCTCAGACTTTTCACCCAAGAAAACCAGACCTAGTGGGAATCGATACCCACCGTCACTGCTTTGCCGCATGGTACGTTACTCTGAAAACTGAAAACAATACTTTTTCCGCGCCTAAAACACCACCTATTTACGACGTTTTCGGCACGTTGAGGCAACTACCCCCCCCAGACCCCCTATTCTCACTTCGTTCGCAAATAACAACTACAGTAGCCAGCTTCCCGGATGGCTTTCGCAAAAAACAACACAAACAACCCAGAAAAACCGCCTCCACAGCACGGACAAGGAAAGGATCGAAGCTTTACCTTCACCAATTCCCCAGTGGCACATAGCCCTGCGAAACATACTCCCACGCCACCCATCTACCCCAAGCTACCTGCGGAAGCCAATACCCCCCCTGTCCCAGACCCCCAACTCTCGCTTCATTGGGGTAACTCTGCCAAGTCTGTCAGCTGGCTTTCCTATCCAAGCGACCAACCAAACCCGCTTCCTGGGGGTTCTTTTTCGGACTAGTTTCGTTTCAGGAAGCTTCTGCACTGGCGACTCCCTCTTGTGTTCTAGACCCCTAGCTCTATCTTCACTGCCCCCCGCCACCCCATTTCCTTTCACACCTTGAGGCAAGCAGTTTTGCAGGATGCTGCCAAACTCCTTGCAAAATGAATCAGAAAGCAAGGCCAAAGCTAGAAAACAAATCAAACTGTCCTGCAATTAAGAGACGGGAAAGTGAATTTTATTACAGAGCAAACATGCAACGGCAGCACCCACATCAGAGCATACTTCACATTGGTGGGCTTGTGCAATTTCCTCAGAAAACCGAAGCAAAATTTGTTGAAAAAATGGAAAAAGGCATAAAAAGACAAAGCAAGTGCGTGACTAAGCTGCTAGCTGGGCAAGGTCGCTGTAGCTCTTCTCCAATTTTTCCAGTTCGCCAAGATGTTGATTGGATTGGCTCGGTTCCATTGCGTTGAAGCTGCCTTGATCTTAGCAGGAGCAACCTCGACAAGGATCCTGGCCTTTGCGTCAAAGAATTGTGTTGGCTAAACTTTGTACGCAAACGCGGAATGTGCTTGGCAAACGACATAAAACTTTCCAAAGATTTGACAGATGAACTCTGGTCACTAGTTGCAGAGATGGGTTCGCCGTGTGGATAATTTGCTTTTTGGGCTGACTATCATCTACAGTGCAAAATTCAGGTCTACACACTGTGCAAGCAGTTGCTCTACTCAACAGTTCAAAACAGTACCATTCTTCGGTAAGCTGTGACTCAGAGTCACCAACTTCGATGCTGTCCACCTTCTGGAGGCTAAAATGCATTTCTGCACTCAATCACTCAAATCTTCATTGCTCCGTGTTTGCCGCATCAAGCTCTCTCAAATAGAATTTGCCATCAAACACAATCAAGTCAATATAGTCAATACTGAACAAGCCTGCATCACTACAATACATCAACTTCATGAACACTGAGGGAACCTTTCGGACCCGCCACTTGTTCTCCACAACATTCACTGCCCTTCGAATTGGCCATCTGATGGCAAGGATGGCAAGGCATGCAGGTGAGACTGTTTCATTGACAGATTGACATACGGCACTGTGCAGGTACCGTAAGTACTGCAAAGAGGGAGTCCAATCCTCACTGAGACGCTCAGTGAGCTCACCCTCCACAATCTTTAGCGAAAATATGTCGCATCTCCGCGACAGCAAAACGTGGCTGTAGACATTGCCGATAATTCCAAAGAGTGGCACTGCAAAGGCATGGCTGTTTCAATGTGCATTTCAACCATTTCATCAGCCACATCTCTTGCTGATTGCTGCGCTAGCATTCGCAGCTTTTCACGGCCCACACCTTTGCACCCATGGGTGCTGTCTGCACAGTTGAGACAAGTCTATGACACTACCACTGAAAAGTGATTCTACATTGACTGATGGCGCCACAGTACCAAGGTTGTCACTATAGTACTGATGCTCCCAAGATTGACCAGGCCTAATCAAGCATGTGAACGAATAGGCAAGGGTACCAGAATTTGGAGTGAGCGCCACGAAGTGGTTTGTGCGATGCAGCAGCAATGTGCAAACTCTCCAAATGCAAACAACAGCTCCATTGGCCATCTATGCAAATGCACTTCTGTACAACACTTACACTTGAATGAGATTCCACCTGCCAGAGCAAAAAGCCTGAAAGGTAGGGAGCTCTCAGAAAAAAGAATAAGAAAACCAAAAAGCCAACTCTTGAGCACTCCGAAAAAAATGAACTAATAGACTAAAGGCATGAGGTCCACTAGCTGAACATATTAGCCATGTTATCAATGTTTGCACAGCAACATCCTGGCTTATGTATAGTGTCTCTTTTCTAGCCAAGCTTCTCTCAATGTTCTGCATGTCCAGCCTGTTTTGCAATCGAACAGGGCTATGAAGAACTGAGATCAACAGCTTGGTACAACGGGCTCGGGGAGCAAAGGCTGACTAAGGTTGGGGAGTTGACAGGACCTCCAACCAGATTCCAGGACCATAAAAGCTTTGGTAACACCCAGCTGTGGCTTTCCTGACGACTTGATTACAACCTTGAAAAACTCTTTCTCCCCAATTTTTGTTATGACATCCTATACAGTCCTATAGCACATAAGCATCTTGACCTTTGCCTGGATCTTTTGCCCATAACAGTGCAAACCTCCACAGAACTACCTGTCGTACCTGTAACCTCGATAATTTCTTGGGAAGCCTCCGAACTTGGTGTTTACGGGACCTATATAACTGGCTCAAACCACAAAGCTGTAGATCAATTTTACCCAAAACTGCCGCGTGCCAATGTAACTTTGTGACCCAACTTGACGTGGATGCGATCCTTTAGACCCCTTCAGTCCTGGGTCCATTGATGGAAGGTGTGGTGTATCTTCTTGCTCCACGTTGAGACAAACATGTCAGGCCTCGGATGACAAACTGCGTTCGAATAATCTCACATATATGATCACTATCATCTGATACACTGTTGAGCAAGGAGAATCACTTTTGGCAAAGGTATTGCGATTGTCATACAATCAGTCTTTGTCTGCATTTAGAGCCACAGCCTCTGACATTCTATTTTGTATATAATATATATATATACATATATATATACATATATATATATACATATATTACATATATTACATATATATACATATATTACATATATATATATATTACATATATATATATATATACTTGAAGAGTTGCTTGCATGTAAGCTCAAACTATTGCTACTCTTCCACCTACAAAATGAGGGTTCCAGCAACAATCAAGGACATGAGGCAGCATCTATGCAGTAGTGGTTGAGTTGAACTGTTTAGGTTGGAGAAATGAAGTCAATGGGAATGTCAAATCAAACATATCACTGTTGGAGATGTCTTGGCAGAGTAGTCAGTAGTCACACCACACCAATATTGCCCTGTAGGTGTTCCTTGAAGTTGGCGCATAATTATACACTTGAGAAACTGTTCTGAAGCGATCTCTGCAGCTCTTTCACTTGTGAGAAAAAGATGCTGCGAGGGCCACACTGTGCTTTGCCAGTCCAGGAATGCTGTGGCTTCGTGAGTTTTTCAATCTCCTCTCCACCTGAAAAGGGTTTCGAAAAGGAAGAGGAAAAACATGGAAAAACCCGACATTCAGGCCACAATGGCCAGAACATGCAATGTAGCAGTTACGTAACATGCACACATACCATTGGTTGCTCAAGTTGCTCAAGTTGCTCAGGATCTGGTCAAAACAACACAGGCCGCCTGGCCTATCAAATCTTGGATCTCTTCTGGCACAAACCTGGACGCTCCGGATCTCAACAAGATTCAACAAGCACTGCACGTGAAGACACTGATCACCCTGAAGCGTAGACTGCCCAGGAATCACAGGCCGCTTAATTCCCAGAGTCCGGGCTATCCCGAAAACCGATGATTTATTGATATTTATTGGGTTCACTACATCATGCTGCATCTTCTGTCAAGCTTACATCAATGCTTGCAGCTGTTTGTCCCGCCTCACACACACAGTGACAAGCTTTCAAGGATATACCATGGACATGCTTACCATTGCTAATCTACATATTACACATATTTACACATAATGTATCTTGATCTTGACGGAAATGATATCTCAAAAGCCTGGGTCCTGGGTATGCTGCAGTGTTAGCAGTGTTAGCCGACTCATAGGTGACGGTGGTCACCCAGCTGGAATTTAAGGTTCAAAGCTGAAGAAAAGGAAACGTTACCAAAATGCTATGAGCACCCCCGAAGAGCAAAAGGAATGCGCACCTGTCAACCGTCTTCTTGTTGAACTTCTTATTGTAAGCAAAGCAATACAAAAGGCTATCTGCCTTGGCTGTTCAGGGCTGATGATGCAATGCACTGAGATCAGAAAACGGAAGCAATGATGGCTTGTAGTTTGCTCGCCAAACTTGGACGTCAGCCATATGATCCAACAGGGCACAAAAGTCGTACCTGTGGCTGACACTGTGACAGAGTGTAAATACACGAACATACGTAAACCGTAAACCATGCGTATCCGCCTAGACATCAACGAGTAAAGATCAAATAAAGTATGGCCGCATGGAAGACTAGACGTCGAATGGATTGCACGCAACACAATTTCGCAGTGCGCACGCAATGTGACAACAGAGGAAAAAAGCCACAAATGCCACCATCTTAGCGTTGGCGTGCCCTCATGAATCTTCGTGGAAGTCTGAGGGTACCCCCCCAACAGGGAACCCCCCAACAATGCGTGTTAATCAGCCTCCAGTAGGGATTGACGGAGCTGAATACAGAAACCACGCAATAAAGCCTTCTTTGTTGTGGGAGATACCTTTGGGCCTTTGGGGGGACTCTCCATGGTCCATCATATTTCTTGTTCCACCTTTCTCATTTTGCCTGAGGCACTAGCCAATGGATCCATAATGAAGCCTGACTTCGAGGGATCGTTGTAAATGCCTCAGCGACTCAAAAAGAAACCCATCATTGCATCATCATATTTCTGAACTGAAGAGCGTGCTGGGAGAACTGAGGCCTACAGGATGCACATGCTTGACAATTAGACCTTTGCACCATGTTACACTACGTTACCCCTATACAGCCTATACAGAATAACGGGGTCCTTTGGTTTGGGACATTTTCGCCCTTGCAGAAACGAGCACCAAGAAATGAGACGAGCAACGAGGCTGCTGAGATCCAGCAGTTAAGGATGGTTGGTGAAGACACGGTGAAAACACGGTGAAGATGGTGAAAACGGCTAACTTCAAAGGAATTGTTTTGTGTTTGCAATTGCAATATTCGGAGCTGAAGCCCTCTTGCCATTCTGCCATTCATCGGTTCCTGCCTTCTTTACAAGAAGTTTCAAAAAGTTCATCTCGTTCTGTGCAACCCTGACATCAACCCACATGACATGCCCGACACTGCTTATATAATATACCACAATATAAGTAGTGGTTTTTCCCTTTCTGTCCTGGGTCGTTTTCCTCAAAGCCATTTGTCTCCCCAAATTGAGATCCACCAAGCCCTAAATGAATAAAATGCCGACAGAAGTGTGTTTTGCACGGAAAATAAGCCAAGAGGTTCTTGGCATGCATATCCCTGTTTGCAAGGACGAACTTCCCTTTTGAGCTAACATTGATACGGAAACAGGTGAAATGACATCACCATGAAATACCATAGACACCGATATCACATGGACATGCACCATTTTTTTCGAAGGAGATTGTTTACAACGGTCATATGTCCAATCACTATGGAAAACTAGAGCAAATCCGGAGGCAGGAGTATCAAGTCTCAGTCTTAAGAAAACTAACAAAAGGACAAAACAGCTCCAATGCCACAGTTATCAAAGCCTGTTTCTTGGTGTTGGCCTGGCAAAACTCCTGACAAATGGTTTGCGCATCGATGCACAGCTGAGATTCAGGCTCCCAAATGAAAGTGTGCAATAGCAAACAACAAAACCAGCCTTAGCATGAGCTCGGAACCCGTGGTACAGTATCGCGAGTCAAGAATCACATGACAGGCAGCAAACCCAAATGAGAAAGCGTCTTCTTGCTCTTTAACCGCAGAAGCACTAATTCAATTCCAAAAAGGCATGCAAAATAAATTGAATAAGCTTAGATAATCTCACATCCGCTGAAAAAAGAAGTCGCTGGAAGTAAGAACCTACGGACCTCCAATCAGAACCTTGACATGGAAAGTATCTCGGCATCCGGAAATGGCCCTCGTCACAAGCCTTGCTACTGAAACCTTCTTCAACCGCTGGAAGTTTGGAGACCTTCAGGAACCTGACCCCTTGAACTTCATTTAACTTCTGAAACCTAGAAGTAGCCATTGTGATACCATGTGAAACCTCAACGGCTAAGCTTTCAAGTGTGCTCAATCTGGCGCAAGGGCCTTCCAGAACTTTCATTCTTGACGTTTACGCACACCTAGCTGCATATGCACTACGCGGAAAGTTTAGAAACCTTTCAAGCACCTTGCAAGCTTCGCGGTTTACCTTTTGCTAACACTGGCCAGTCCATCGCATAAACATGGAATCATATGGAATCTATACTTGGGAATTTCAATTAAAACTGTCCAGAACCTCAGAAAATCTCATGGAATTCTCCAGAACATTCCCGGACAAATTTTTGCCAACATATCAAACACAAATCCGCATGCCAACGGGAAAACCCAACAACGGCGCTGCCCAAAACCTTTTCATGTGTCCCAAACCGTACAGACGCAAATAGGCAAAAGAAATAAATATCCCTGCTTATCGAAAGTGTTTAGCCAAACAAAAATCAAACTGCGTGCAACATCAGACTCCATTAACCTCTGCTTGGTCCAGAACCTATGGAACCCCTCCGTGGACCATCTGAATGACCTTTAGCTCTTTGATGCTCTTTGAACTTAGTTACTGCTAGTTTTTATTATTTGTTATTACTGCTTATTGCAGTAGAGTTAAGTGCTCTGACCCGGCGCCACAGTCCGCTCCAGGACAGGCAACACCCCGTACTTCAGCGTCTGAACTATCCAAACCAGACGGCACGGTGGCAAAATATGTCAAGAGGAGCAATCAGTGCGTAACAAGTCAAACGTTAAAATATTGTATACATACATGTCCAGAAAGACACCTCTTGGATACAAATCTCATACAAATCACCCTTCCGAGTCGACTTTTCGCAAAACGAACTGATTTTACCTATCTAGTGCCTCTCCACCCCCGTAGCTAACGCTTTCTAGCAAACGGTTTGGAAAACTCTGCAACTGCTCCAAGCAGTACATCTATGAAGTGCCTTTGGCCACTCACATCTGCTTCATGTTTGTAGCAGGCCGGAAAAAAAATACTACTAACTACAACTACTACTACAACAAAAACAGCAACAACAACAACAACTACTACGACGACGACGACTACTACTACTACTACTACGACTACTACTACTACTACTACTACTCCTACTACTACTACTACGACTACGACTACGACTACTACTACTACTCCTCCTCCTCCTCCTACTACTACTACTACTACTACTACTACTACTACTACTACTACTACTTACTACTACTACTACTACTACTACTACTACTACTACTTACTACTACTACTACTACTTACTACTACTACTACTACGTACTACTACTTACTACTACTTACTACTACTTACTACTACTTACTACTACTTACTACTACTACTACTACTTACTACTACTACTACTACTACTACTACTTACTACTACTTACTACCTACTACTACTACTACTACTTACTACTACTACTACTACTTACTACTACTACTACTACTACTACTACTACTACTCCTACTACCTACTACTCTACTACTACCTACTACTACTACTACTACTACTACTACCTCCTACCTACTACTACTACTACTACTACTACTACTACTACTACTACTACTACTACTACTACTACTACTACTACTACTACTACTACTACTACTACTACTACTTACTACTACTACTACTACTACTACTACTACTACTACTACTACTACTACTACTACTACTACTACTACTACTACTACTACTACTACTACTACTACTACTACTACTTACTACTACTACTACTACTACTACTACCTACTACTACCTACTACTACCTACTACTACCTACTACTACCTACTACTACCTACCTACTACTACCTACTACTACCTCCTACTACCTCCTACTACCTACTACTACCTACTACTACCTACTACTACCTACTACTACCTACTACTACCTACTACTACCTACTACTACCTACTACTCCCTACTACTACCTACTACTACCTACTACTACCTACTACTACCTACTACTACCTACTACTACCTACTACTACCTACTACTACCTACTACTACCTACTACTACCTTCTACCCTACCCCTACTACTACCTACTACTACCTACTACTACCTACTACTACCTACTACTACCTACTACTACCTACTACTACCTACTACGACCTACTACGACCTACTACGACCTACTACTACCTACTACTACCTACTACTACCTACTACTACCTACTACTACCTACTACTACCTACTACTACCTACTACTACCTACTACTACCTACGACTACCTACTACTACCTACTACTACCTACTACTACCTACTACTACCTACTACTACCTACTACTACCTACTACTACCTACTACTACCTACTACTACCTACTACTACCTACTACTACCTACTACTACCTACTACTAACTACTACTACCTACTACTACCTACTACTACCTACTACTACCTACTACTACCTACTACTACCTACTACCTACTAACTACTACCTACTAACTACTACCTACTACTTACTAACTACTACCTACTAACTACTACCTACTAACTACTACCTACTAACTACTAACTACTACCTACTAACTACTACCTACTAACTACTACCTACTACCTACTACCTACTACCTACTACCTACTACCTACTACCTACTAACTACTAACTACTACCTACTAACTACTAACTACTACCTACTAACTACTTACTACTACCTACTAACTACTACTACCTACTACCTACTACCTACTACCTACTACCTACTACCTACTAACTACTAACTACTAACTACTAACTACTAACTACTAACTACTAACTACTAACTACTACCTACTAACTACTACCTACTAACTACTTACTACTACCTACTAACTACTACTACCTACTACCTACTACCTACTACCTACTACCTACTACCTACTAACTACTAACTACTAACTACTAACTACTAACTACTAACTACGAACTACTAACTACGAACTACTAACTACGAACTACGAACTACGAACTACGAACTACGAACTACGAACTACGAACTACGAACTAACTACTTACTACTTACTACTTACTACTTACTACTTACTACTTACTACTTACTACTTACTACTTACTACTTACTACTTACTACTTACTACTTACTACTTACTACTTACTACTTACTACTTACTACTTACTACTTACTACTTACGACTTACGACTTACGACTTACGACTTACGACTTACGACTTACGACTTACTACTTACTACTTACTACTTACTACTTACTACTTACTACTTACTACTTACTACTTACTACTTACTACTTACTACTTACTACTTACTACTTACTACTTACCACTTACCACTTACCACTTACCACTTACCACTTACCACTTACCACTTACCACTTACCACTTACCACTTACCACTTACCACTTACCACTTACCACTTACCACTTACCACTTACCACTTACCACTTACCACTTACCACTTACCACTTACCACTTACTACTTACTACTTACTACTTACTACTTACTTACTTACTACTTACTACTTACTACGGACTACTTACTACTTACTACTGTACTACTAACTACTTACTACTCACTACTTACTACTAACTTACTACTTACCACTTACCACTTACCACTTACCACTTACCACTTACCACTTACCACTTACCACTTACCACTTACTACTTACTACTTACTACTTACTACTTACTACTTACTACTTACTACTTACTACTTACTACTTACTACTTACTACTTACTACTTACTACTTACTACTTACTACTTACTACTTACTACTTACTACTTACTACTACTACTTACTACTACTACTACTACTACTTACTACTTACTACTTACTACTTACTACTTACTACTTACTACTTCCTACTTACTACTTCCTACTTACTACTTACTACTTACTACTTACTACTTACTACTTACTACTTACTACTTACTACTTACTACTTACTACTTACTACTTAATACTTACTACTTACTACTTACTACTTACTACTTACTACTTACTACTTACTACTTACTACTTACTACTTACTACTTACTACTTACTACTTACTACTTACTACTTACTACTTACTACTTACTACTTACTACTTACTACTTACTACTAACTACTTACTACTAACTACTAACTACTAACTACTAACTACTTACTACTTACTACTTACTACTTACTACTTACTACTTACTACTTACTACTTACTACTTACTACTTACTACTTACTACTAACTACTAACTACTAACTACTAACTACTCCTCCTCCTCCTCCTACTACTACTACTACTCCTCCTCCTCCTACTACTACTACCTAATGCTAATACTACTACTACTACTGCTACTACTACTACTAATAATACTACTACTACGACGACTACTACTACGACGACGACTACTACTACTACTACTACTTACTACTACTTACTACTACCTACTACTACTTACTACTACTTACTACTACTTACTACTACTTACTACTACTTACTACTACTTACTTACTACTACTTACTTACTACTACTTACTACTACTTACTACTACTTACTACTACTTACTACTACTTACTACTACTTACTACTTCTTACTACTACTTAGTACTACTTACTACTACTTACTACTACTTACTACTACTTACTACTACTTACTACTACTTACTACTACTTACTACTACTTACTACTACTTACTACTACTTACTACTACTTAGTACTACTTACTACTACTTACTACTACTTACTACTACTTACTACTACTTACTACTTCTTACTACTACTTGCTACTTCTTACTACTACTTACTACTACTTACTACTACTTACTACTACTTACTACTACTTACTACTACTTACTACTACTTACTACTACTTACTACTACTTACTACTACTTACTACTACTTACTACTACTTCTTACTACTTATTACTACTTACTACTACTTACTACTACTTACTACTACTTACTACTACTTACTACTACTTACTACTACTTACTACTCCTTACTACTACTTACTACTACTTACTACTACTTACTACTACTTACTACTACTTACTACTACTTACTACTACTTACTACTACTTACTACTTACTACTTACTACTTACTACTTACTACTTACTACTTCCTACTTCCTACTTCCTACTTCCTACTTACTACTTACTACTTACTACTTACTACTTACTACTTACTACTTACTACTTACTACTTACTACTTACTACTTACTACTTACTACTTACTACTTACTACTTGCTACTTACTACTTACTACTTACTACTTACTACTTACTACTTACTACTTACTACTACTACCTTCTACTACCTACTACTACCTTCTACTACCTACTACTACCTACTACTACCTACTACTACCTACTACTACCTACTACTACCTACTACTACCTACTACTACCTACTACTACCTACTACTACCTACTACTACCTACTACTACCTACTACTACTTACTACTACCTACTACTACCTACTACTACCTACTACTACCTACTACTACCTACTACTACCTACTACTACCTACTACTACCTACTCCTACCTACTCCTACCTACTACTACCTACTACTACCTACTACTACCTACTACTACCTACTACTACCTACTACTACCTACTACTACCTACCACTACCTACCACTACCTACTACTACCTACTACTACCTACTACTACCTACTACTACCTACTACTACCTACTACTACCTACTACTACCTACTACTACCTACTACTACCTACTACTACCTACTACTACCTACTACTACCTACTACTAC